CAGAATCAGCTCCTGGTGATTCATCACCACCTTGACCTGCTGGCCACGCTGCTTTGGATGCAGCCCAGTAGGGTTACAATTGTCTTGAGAGACCAACCCTAGATGTGATCATTTGTGGGGTTTTTTTGTTTGTTTTTGTTGTGTTTTTAAAATTCAAACTGTGGCATGTCTGGGGGCTATGACCAAGGTCAGAGTTACATAAAACTGGCATTTTTTAATAGTAAAACCTGTAACTACTTCAGCATTTACAACCTGTATTTTGCTACTGCTCTTACTTTGATACTCACAAGCAAGTCTGACTAAAATTTTTCGTGGAATGGTATGTCTCCTGTACTTTGGCCTGAGGATCAAGACAAATTTGATCCATTCATGTGTGTCAGTGTTTCATCTGATTCAAAGCAAAGTCCCTCAAAGTAGTGATAAAAATCAACAGTCCAGGATTACAGATATCAGTGCAGTGCTTTTGCTTTTTTTTTAATTCTGTCTGAGGCTTTAGAACTAGGCATGTGACTGTCATCAGGTTTTTTATTCTTTTGAAGCTACTTGGGTTTGAAATACCCACTCAGCTGAGCTGCAGACGTGTTCTGTGTTTTCTGCTCTGCTACAGGTGTCCTTGCCTTGCCATGATTTTCCTTGTCAGGAGCTTTGTTGGGCAGTTAGCCAAAGTGAACAAAGTGCTCAAAAGCCACCCAAGGAAAATACAGCTTTGAAAATATTACTGCTTCTCCAGGCAGTTGCAGATTAGAGTATATTAGATATCTGGAAAAATCTATTGAGTGAAATTTTACATTTTTTTCCTTCTAAATCATGAGAAAATTAAATTCTTTAATAAGAATAGGACTGGGACCTAGTGAACTGGGTGAAAGTTTGGAGACTTTGGGCTAGAAAAGCCCAGTGGTTATGGACCTGGGGACCTAGGCCACAAGCATTTGCTGAAAATGACTGTGCCTGATGCCCATACACAAAAATGGGCGCCAGTCTTGGCAGCGGGGAGCCTTAGCTCCCACCGTAGCTGCAGCAGGATCTCGCGTTTTGGTGAAGAAGTCAGTATACTTTGTCCAGCTCCCAAGAGCTGACAGATCTGCTGGGCTTAGCATGTCAGTGGGGATGTTTAACCCAAGGAACAGCAACTGTGTTTTGTCCAGTAGCCTGACAGAACTGGTGGATCTAGATTAAATGGCCTCTGCAGGCTGAGGAGATTTGAACACCTTTGGAGAGTGCCATAACTGCTGGATGGGAGAAGCCAAGCTGGTGTAAGGAGGTTAGCAAGAGTTCTAGAGGGAGAACCAGCAGAAGGTCACCTAATTAAGAAGTCAGTGCTTTGGAAGTGGGCAGGGGAACTGTGTTACAGTCCCTCTTTCTGGGGCTTTTTAGATAGTTTTCAATACAATCGTGACTGAAGAAAAATGATTAGAGGAGACAAGGACCTATGCTGCTGGCTGACCCTAGGACCTCCACTGCTTCCACAGTGAAGGTGGCTTGTGCCCAGCCAGCATGAGGGCATTGGCACAGTGTGTCCAACCTTGGCCGGTTAGAGCCAAGGCTGCCGTGTCTGCGTTGTTGGGGCGTAGCCACACCCTTTGGATGCAAACTCTGAAAGAAGGCTCTGGAGTAAAAATACCAGTCTGACACGGGTCAGATTGGATTGGTGCCTCTGTCTTGCTCTCAGACAGAATCCCATCTGGTTTTCATATACTCTCTTGACCAGCTTCAGGGATACTGTGCGCTGTTGCTTGTCACGACTGCCCTGAAGCACGTCATGCTTCCTGTGTGTTGCAGAAAGGGATGGCTGCAGCCTGGATCAGCCTCCCAAATCAGGGCTGCAGTCTGGGGTTTGGGCAGTCAAAAATTAGGATTCTATCAATTTCAAGTCCTTTTTCAGATGGTCTTCAGCTGTGTTATATCATGGTTCCCCATCTATAAAGTAGGAAAGGTATTTATTTTGTATTACACAGAGTGTGGGGCCTGCTTGTAAGGTGCTTTGGCTAGGGGAATAGTATGTATCAATTATTGTTATTTTGATTAAATAGAGATATCTGATGTGTTGTAGTTTAGGCTGGAGTTATAAACTAGACCTATCTTTAATCAAGTGAAGGAGGAGTCATCCCACCTAAGTTGATATAGATGGCTACAGCTGAGAAGGTTGTCCTTGTCAGGGGGGGAGAAACAGCGAGTCTTAAGGCGTGATCTGTTTCAGACATCTGCTTCAGGATGAGACGAAAGGTGCCCTAGGCTGCCATGACTGTAAGGGGACTATCTCAGCTGTAGATATCTGCATCAATTTAGATGAGATGATGCCTGAGTCATATTACTAAAGGCAGATCTGATTTGCAACTTCAACCTGAGCTGATAGCTCTTGATGGTGTTCTCTACTAATAGCTATTTTGTGCTCTGTGTTTTAAAAATACCATGGAAATGACAGGCTGTGTGACAGTCAGAGCCTGTACTGGGTTTTGCTGTCGGCCATGCTGCAGGCTTAGTCTGTGGCATCCAATAGATTCTTTAACCTATTAGTATTTCTGTTTCCATGCAAGGCCGAGAATCCATGGCTACTGTGCTCACCTGCTTAAACTGGTGAGGGGGATGAATGTGCATAAAAGTATATCATGGGGCAGCCCTGGTAGCACAGAGGCTTTGAATTGCATAAAGGTGGTTGGCGAGCTGGCCATCTCGCCAGATCTCTCACTGGGCATCAGAAACTTTTGTGGCTCTTATGATCCTGGTGCTATAAATTACCTGAGTAAGCCCACATCATTTAACACATTTTTATATCTAGCAAACTAGTAAATCTAGGCAGCTTGCAGCTTTTCTGTTTCACTTCAGCATTTATACACCCACTTCAATGTAGAAATGAAGCAGCATAGCCCAATGTACCGTTAATGCAGAGTGGCATTTACCTGCAGGAGGTTATAACTAAGTGTTTTCCCTTGTTCAGTGGGCGTTTTGATGCCGGTAGCAAGGTGTCTGAAAAAAAAATGGAATGACTTGGCCAAGAACAATGCAGAAGGATCTCAACTCAAAGCATCCTCTTCCATTTAGCGGGTGCAATGTGACAATGCTCTTCATACCCATTCAGGATGAGCCTGGAAATTAAAAGGTTACCTTCCTCGGGCTAACTGTATAGCTCTCAGTTTTTGTTGGTGCTGCTGGTCATTGATTCTCTTTCCTCATTGAGATGTAGTATTAATGCCATTGCTAAAACAGCTTAAAAGTAATAGGGTGTGACATTTCAAAGTACTGCTGGCTTTTAACAGTGGTATGTGTTTTTACAAGCTCCTGATGTTTGGCTATGAAAACTGTCCCATGGGCCAAGTTCTGCTGGTAGGAAGTGTGGCATGCACTTCTCCAACAGGGCTGGTGGGAGCTGCATCCAGTGGTCATTTGGTCTGCCAGCATACAGTTCTTACAGGGGTTAGCATAGCCCCATCACTGTAGTGCTTTGTATCTTAAAATACCTTTCATTTCATGTTGTTGTAACACAGCGCAGAATTTTTTTTTTGCGCAAAGCTCACTTACACTTTTTGGGAACGGAGTGATGCCTTTTGGGAATGGGAGTGGAAATGTGAGAGCGTGGAAAACATTCCGACCTTACAGATACAGAGTGTGCAAAGAGTGGGGACCGAAGGTTTATAATAATCTAAGGTGGTGGAAGAACCAAGACCCTTAGAAGTGACCTAAGAGCAAGACCCATGTCAAGTTGATTAGTCATTTGTTCTGCAGTTGGTTTCCTGGAGCTATTTGAGGAGCGTAAGGAGTTAGTGCTCTGCTGGTCATTTGAACCTTCTGATGTGTGTGTCTGGACACCAAACAAGGTGTCTTTACTCCTTATGCGAATTCTGTTTCTTTACGGGCTGTGGGATGTCAGAGTTCTCCCTCCTACCTCTCCATCCTTTTCATACAGAGATTGCTGCAAATCCATGAAACTTACCTCGAACTACAGCACATGGATTGCTGTGAGAGCATGTGGTGACTGGCTGCCTTCACTGCACCACCTTCGGATGGCAGGTGTTGGGAGGAGTATGCAACCAGAGCTGTATGTAATGACGGCTGTTAAAACCTTTATTTCCTTCTTGTTAGATGGACATAGAATGCAAGATTTTTCTCTGCGCTCTGGAGACTTTCCTTGCTGAGCTGCCAGGCTTTGGGTGGTTTGTTACTTTTATAGTCTTGCACAGGTCAGTTATTTTCTCTCTGTCTGGGTTTCCCAACTGCAATTCTTCCTTTTGTCTGTCCTTTCCTCTGTCGTGTCTGAGTGGAATAAAGACCAACCTCCACCACTGGTGAGTTCACACAATGTGCGGGATGACTACTGTAATGATGCATCATTCTTTGGGATTTATAGACAGAGTTGCTCTAAACACACAGCGGAAGACAATCTGATTGAAGATGTTTAAAAACTGGCATAAAGATTTTCCACAGTCTGAAAAGACCTGTGGAAACGCAGATACAAAACCATATCAAGGAAGAGTTAGTGTTTCCAAATACTGACCTTGTGCAGACTAATCGTGTTAAATCCTGGTTTATGTTGCATAGGATTTTAATTTTTACGTTACTTTTTTTTTTTGGTTACTCAAAATTGTTATGAAATTTTTGTTGTACTTAAAACTTACAATCTGATAAGAGTTCTTGTCAAATATGCTTTGCAGAAACTAAACTGAAGGGGTTTTTTTGAGCCTGTATTAATGTAACTAATTATGGAAGTAGGGTTAGCATTGTTAAGCTCACTGAAATCCTGCCTGCTTGCACCAGCAGATGGGCTAAGTTTTTAACCTTCTGAAATGTGGGAGCTGTTTTTAAGGCCCAGAAGTCAATGGGAGATGCGATTGTGAAGAATGCAAGGTTGGTTTTGCTCACCATCCCTCTGTTTCAAGGTGTAGTTGTTGCTCTTTGTAACAGACTGTTGAGTTGGAAACCGTGACTTCACATGAGTCACTTCAGTGCAGTTCTCTCATGAACGTGCCTGAGAGACTATTGCTGATGTTTCTTTCTCTTCCCTTCAGCTAGTGAATCGGCACTTGTATTCAGGAAGCGCGGACAGGACAGTGAAATGCTGGTTAGTAGACACTGGGGAGCGAATCCAAACGTACAAGGCTCACAAACACAGCGTTAGCACTTTGAAATACCACGCTGGGATCTGTAAGTTGCCTTTCCTATGTTCAGCAATCCCCTGTCTCCTTTTTGATGTTTATCTTTGAACAAAGATTGCTAATAGACAATACTGTAAGTTTGAAGGCTTGTGAAATTGTCACTTTTTTCAGCTCCAGCATGTTTATGTTCAGTATCAGATGTTGCTGCACTACTCCATGTGGGAAGCTTAGATCTTCCCTCCATTTTCCACGTCCCTCTTCAGGCTAATGAAGAGGCAGGTGCTTTATTTCTGTTACTAAGGGAAGCGGCTTAAATCCTGAGCTGTCTGTGGGTTGTTTGTATAGCTGTGGTTTAACCTCGCTGGTCTGATGTCTGTCAGTCTGCTCCTGCTGCGTACTCGGGGACAGCAAGTGCTGCTGCTGGATATGCAGCCCTGTGCCTGCCTCTGCTACCTTGTAGGTACTGTGTAATGGTAAACCTCATCACATCTCAGATGCTCACTGCTTCTTTGTAACAGTTAGGCTTCCTGTTCAGGCTCGGACTACCTCCTAGGTTCATTTTCCACAAGTTCTTTTCCCTTTATCTGTCCTCTTTCACCTGTTTGTTCCCCAAACCACCTATTTGCAGTAGCCATGCAGTGCATGCCTTACTAATGCTCGGGACTCGGTTCCCTTACTTTCAGAACTCCGTTTAGTAGCGGTATCTGTACATAACTCTCTACTGTTGACATAACAGTATATTCTGACCATGAAACCTCCCTCTTTAAATCCCTCTCTTGGCTGGCTTTCCTCCTGCACGTCGTCTATCAATTTCTGGCTTCGGGTTACAAGACTGTGCCTCTGTTTTTATCAGCCTGAACCTCTCTGTGTGTCACCCTGGTCTTACCCTGCCACTGATGTTAGACCTGATGTACCTTCATTTGCTTCCCAAACAAGTACTTCCCTCCTTCAGGGTAACTGGAATGGCAACGCCTGTTTTAAGCTCATCTAGAAATTTGCAACGCTTTTCTGATTTCGATTTCTGTACTTCGACTATGGAGCGAACATGTAACACCACACAAATGGTTGCTATTTAGGCCTTGATATCTCTTTTGGCACATCATCGGTGTGATGGTGATAAATGGCTGACAGATGCAAGATGGTACACATTAGAAGAAAGTCGTACCTGCACAGGCAGATGACAGTTTAATGGCAGTTGTCTAGCACCACGCTTGACATGGCTGACTGACCACATTCATAACCCAGTAACTGAACTGACTTCTTAATTATGTTTCGAAACTTAACATGTAACCAAGCCCGTAGGTAGATTTTTAATTTCAATCAGGAAGCATTTTTTTGGTCTTCCTTTCAGCATTAGGCCCGCAGCACTACTTTTCTCCATTAAAACAGTTAATCGTAATTTATGGTTCATTTCCATTTCTCCTCACCTATATTGCAGGACCACCCCACTCTCCCCTACCTGCAGGTTATAATTTCTGCTGATTTCAGCTTTTGCAGTTGGATAGAAGTCTGAAATGGAAGGGGAAAATGTCTGATCTTACGCTGCACCCTGAAGTTGTTACTGCTCAAAGATGCAGGCGGGTAGGGCAGAGGAAACGAACCAGCAACTTTAATCCAGGATTAACACTGGCAAACAAAATACTGATTATTTTGTGTGTGTGTTTTCCCCCTTTTAATTATATAAAGACGCAAAACAAAACATTGAATTCATCAAGCCTACCCAAAGGCAAGATAACTGCGCTAAGCTGATGTTGGCCTGATCCAGTGAGGAATCTTCATGTCTGGGTGGGACATGAAGAGACTGTCTCCTTCATTAATGAGACCTCCAGAGCTCTGCATTTTGTCAGTGTTGATCCTGCTTTTCATGCAACTAATATAGACTTGACCAGACTCTCCAAAACCATCATAAAGAAAGTTTAAGCTCAGGCAAAAGTTTCATTATGTGATGCCACCCCCACCAGCCCTGCAGCTTTCTCTCTCTTCCCCCTCATCCTACCACCCTGTCCCTGCCATACGCATGCATTCTTTTTCCATAACACTATTTTTTTCTTAAAATGCAGGCTATATTGCTGCATTTAGCCAGACCTGTGAAGAACATCCTGATAGTGTGATAGAAGTGTTCACAGAGTTATTTAAGATCTCATTTTAAATCAAATGCAAAAGTACTAAAAGTGTCAAACAGGGAGAATTGAATTGTTCCACTTGAAGGGTAGAAAAAATGTCATGGAAAAATATTAGGGACTTGTTTGAATAGAATTTAGATGTATTTTAATTCTTGAAAGAGCAAATTTTCCCTTAAAATTTGATTTATATACTAGGATTGCTTGCATTATTGTAATACATCGATTACTTATTTACGCAGCATCTAATAGTTTTGTTTCAATTAGAATTACAAAGTAAGGTTCACTGGATGCAAAATGTTGGAGCCTGTGTACCTTAAAATTACAGCTGTTTACCTCGGGCAGATCAACACTGTTTGTCTGTTCTGTGTCTTTCAAAAATGTGGAGAAAATACTTAAATATAAATGATGTTTGTTATGGTTCATGTCACATTTCTTTCCGTCTTCTTGTGCTGTTGTAATCTCAGCTGAGAAGTGGTAACTTTCTGTTAGAAGATCTTAATTCTGTTGCTTACTATCCCATCAGTACCCAAAGGCTCCTTGCCCCAGAGTTTAAGGTCTAAATAAGAAAATATAGTAGAAGAATGAGAGGAAAAATGTATGTGTGTTTCCAAAATGGCTTTATAGGGTACAGGGAGTCCAGACAGATCTGAGAACTGAGCTTTATATCATCCAAATGTGTTTCTAGTGGCTTTCCTCAGTCTGCTTGTGTAATCAGTAGCATGGGGAATATTAAAGCTGGTTCTCAATCTAATTTACTTAATGATATTATGTTGGTTATCTCTCCTACAGTATGTGCACAGTCATTTAAAATTTAATGTGGTTTATATTTTTTCATGTTGCAAAAACTCCAAGGGAACATTTAAAACCTGTTCTCCCTCCCAAGGCTCTATGAAATTTAAGTAAAAAGTAAAAATGAATTGTTGATTTTTTTTTTTGTTGTTGTTGTTTTTGCTTGTTTGTTTCACAGGTGGTATATATAAGCATATATTGAAATGCTAAACCTGGCATTTAAATCGGTTCTTCTTTGAAACTCAGAGGTGCAAAGAGACTTTGGAAATCTAGAGTGACAATTCAAAAGGCATAAAGGATGTCTGTCAAAAGCAAAATCCTGGTAGCAATAGCTAAAGTACACTGACAGCTGCACAGTGAAAACAGCTCTTAATAGGTTCCTACTCTCTGCATGTGTGTAATAGCATTAAGTGATTTCCATTCACTGGAAAAAAATAATCTGTACCTTGTTCCCTGCTTTACGTCGTTGTTACTCATTTGCAGAACGGGATGCAATGCTTTTTCAGGATTGTGTTGACAATTGAATTTATAGTGGCCCATTGATTTGGGCCATGATAGTTGACATTGGTTTTCCACATCCAGATGTTTCTTTACACCTCCAGCAGAAGGTGTACCCAGCCTCCTGCTGATTAATTTGAAGTTGAAAAGCTGATGGCAGTAGATAGCTTGTTCTTTTGTCTCTTGTAGTCCTGAATTTACTGGTGTGATAATTTCCTCACCTTTCTTTAGGAACCCAGTGCCTGACTTTTCCCAAAAGAGGAGGAATCTGTTGTCTTCAGGCACTTCAGTTTTGTATAAATCTTTCCATGCCAGTGGCTTTTGCAAAGACATGAAATGCATGGAGCATTTACATATGAATATATTGCTTTTTGCAGTTATGAAATACTTACCTCTAGATAAATTTGGGGTGTCTAGGTTAAGTGAAGGAAAGTGAATGTTTATGAAAACAGTTTGTAACCCTTAAAGCACACAGATGTGCTCCCTTTTGTGCATATTACCACGTATAAAATCTAAATATTCAACACTGTCTTACACTTTTTCCAGATGCAGCAATTCTTGGGATCTGATGTGAAGATCCTGAAATGTTGAGAAATTGCTCTTTGAACATGTTGAGATACCCTAAGGAAACTTGATGAACAGTCAAAATCCCTGGTCATGCTTCATTTACTTAACACCCCCCACACACCTTGTAGCACATGTACAATGTAGCACACAGAATACAAGAGCCAAAACCCTCAAATAATTCTGTGCCATACTGAAACAGAGATTATAGCCGGGCCTTGAATCACTTAAAGGCTCTACTGCTTGCAAAGATCCTAAACTACAGGATTTAGCTGAAAGAAATCTACCATGCTGAAAGAATTTATAAAGTTTCTTTGTAAAGCTGCCTACATGTCACTCACCTCTGAGGACAGAAGATTTAACTGTGGTATTTCAACAGAGACAGCTATACCTATTGATAGTAAGCTTATGGTTGAAAATGAGGGGGGAAAAAAGGGTGTTTTGATGAAGCTAAGGCTAAATTCATATTATTAGTATGAGAGGTGGTAACACTATCACTGTTTGCAGCTCCACTGTACAGATGAAGTGTCGAAGATACTGTAGCACTGAACGGAAACCTGGAAATAACTATGGTAAAACAAATGGAAGGCTTAGTGGAAATCCTTAAAACCAGACTTGAGTTAAATTGCCTGCTTAGAATTACTGAGGCAAGTTTAGGCAGGGAAATATATGTGGAAGAGAAGAGCATAAATAGATATTTGATGTGTGTGGAGTGAAATGCTGATGTATGTAGGAACTTCAGGCCTACGGCAGTTCGGTGTTTTGAAAAATACGAATGAAAACAAGCGTGCTGGGGTCAGCAAAATTAAAATAATCTGAACTCACTCTAACTGAGCAGTGAGTCAAGCCTAAAAATGATATGTTTTAGGTACATTTTTAACTCACATGAACTGACCTATGTTGTGTGGTTGCATTGCAGTGTTCACAGGAAGTGGTGATGCCTGTGCAAGAGCTTTCAATTCCAAGAGTGGTGTCCTGCAGAAGATCTTTCGAGGGCATAAGTTCATCATCAACTGCATCCAGGTCAGGAGGGGGTTTCTCTGCTGGGATTTCTCACTTCTGATTGCTCCCTCATTTGTTTTGTGGGAACTGGTGTGGCTGCTGTTCTGTGTGTCTTCGGTTGGATGTTGTTTCAGGGTAAGACAAAAAGTAACAGACTTGAATATTCCTTTTGTCATTTTAGACAAACTCAATAAGGATAGGTGAAACCACAGAATGAGACCCCAGAGACAGTCCTGTGTCTGTGGTTGGAGGTTTTTCAGGTCAGGTTAGACAAGCAACAGTAAGAAATGAGACGGGTGTAACCAGTCCTGCATAGGGGCAGGGAATGGACTCCGACCTCATGAGACCCCTTCCATTACAAGACACTGATGATAAGTGTTTGCAATGCTCTGGGCAGAAAATAAGTTTCTGCCTTATCCAAGCAGAATAATATATAGCGTTATACCCCTAACCCCCCTGGGCACGGCATCCCTCAACAGTTTAACAACGGCTTACTATCCTTTCTGATCTTGGTGAAGAGCTAGCGGTGATTTCCATATGCTACCCTGTATATAAACATTTATATAAAGTATTGCCATCAGGATCTCTTTTTCTGAAGATACAAAGATGACAGAGAAGCTCTGTATTGATGTCTGACCCACATCCTACCAGACAAATAGAAGAATCTCTGCCACTGGCTTAAAAATTTTCTGAAAGTGAATTAAGTCCCTGAAAAGTTGCTTGCATATTGTCTAGGTTGAAGTGATACAGGCATTTAAAAGTTAAAAGAGGAGGAATTGGTAACCCTTGGTGGCAATGCAAAAACCAGTATCATGCAAGGAATCCTGGGGGAAAGGTTTGAATCCTGGGATGCTTTGTGCATTTAAGAATCCACATCTCCCTGCATCAGGATCTTGGTAAAAGCTGTGAGCAGGATGAGGATTTTGATTAAGAACAAGTGAGACACTGTAAGTATTTCTGGCAGGCTGACAGTCGAAAGAAAAAAAGAGAGGAGAGAAAATTCCTTTTGGAGTTGATCCCAAGCGTACAGAGTTGTAAATAGGGTTGTCTTTTGTGTATTTTTATGAATTAGCAAGTGGCTAGTTGGTCTTACACTGCACACTCTTGGGTATTGACCAATTGGTTGTGGAGCAGATGGTCACCTGGATGTATGTATCACCTGATAGACTCACTCTGTGCAGCTCCCCAGTATTGACAAGACCAAAGCTTGGCTTTGTACTTGATTTGTAATTTTGTTTCCAGGTGTACAGGGAAAAAAATCCTGGGAAGAGAGAGGGCTGAGAAGTGGTGACCTTGATATGATCTCAAGTATATTAATGAGGGATGGGTGAGGGATGAGGGGGCTGTGGTTGAGCAGTGCTTGTGTGGTGCCTCGTGCTGGTGTAAGCCAGGCTGCCGGTGCGACGCTGGCTGTCACAGCCTGCCTCTGGAGACTGCGCGTGCCCGCGGCGCACAGACCGACGCACGCAGGGGACGCTGATCAAGACCCATGGCTGGCTTGTAGGGAAGGGTGAGGACAATTGGAAACATTACCAACAGCAGCAAATATTTCATTAAGGAAATGAAACTACAGGGGGGAATCAAGGTTAAATTAGTGCAAGTTTGGAAGAACAGCAAATTTTGAAGGAGGAATTGTACCTATAACTTACTGCAAAGGGAGAAGGGAAGTGAGAAGGAAAGCATTCCTGACCTCCCCACTGCCCACTGATGCCTATTTTGGTGCCTCCGTAAGCTTTGTCTTCCAAACCAGCAGTCTGAAACCAGCACAGAAATTCCCAGCTACAGCCTACTCTGACAGTGAGTTTAGTTCCCTGTTGCTTTTCTAGTGGGTTTAGGTTATAAATAACTCTTGCTGTTTATATTTTATGGCTGTCTGAAGTGGCTGAGAAATGAGTCCTGACTTGGTAATGTCTCATCCCACTTCAGCAGCTTTTGTGATAATTTATACCGGCTCTTGCGATGAGCTATCAGGCCTTAAGTGTTAGGATCAAGCTGTGTTTGCTCTGATTTTTGGCAGTTTGATTGTGCCGATTCTGAGCTGTTCCATTTGGTATTAAATGTGACCCTGTTGTTCCAGATCCATAATGAGTTGCTCTACACAGCTTCCCACGACGGCACACTAAGGATTTGGGACATCCGGGGCATATGCAAGAGAAATAAGCGGCGTTTGAAGAAGGAGAGGTCTGCCCAGGGCAGGAGCTCTCAGAAGGGAAGTCTGTCTCGTCTCTTTAACAATAAAGTCGGCTGTATGGTACAGCAGGAAAATGGGGAACACGAGGCCGTTGAACTAATGTGACTGTCCAGAACAGGCTTTCCATCGGTGACCAAAGCCGAACCTTTTGTTTTCTGCACCACTGTGTCCATGCAAACCCGAACTTGAAAGAGATGGGAAATGGCTTTGCTTGAATCTCTTTGTCAGGAGCCAGGATTCTGTGACTGCCAGATAGACTCAGGTCAGATATTGCCGCTGCGGAGGACCCTCAGCCGAGCAGTACTGGGGTTAGGAGGGACAGCAGTGTGGTTCAGGTGACGTACCTCTGTATGAAATTAAGAACTTTACTTAGTTACAACTGCTTGTTTCCAGTTCCCTCTGGCACAGAGGTGTTGCACACTTCTGCCTGTCTATTATCTAATGAGAAATGTTTTCTCCTGTTCCTGTTGCCCACTGACATGCCCTCTGCTTGGCCGAATGTAAAAGTGAAAGGTGCCCTGCAGTACCACTACAAATTCAATTTTCACAGCTGACCTTTGGGTCAGTTGTTTTGCTGATCAGACCAACTAATGCAGAATGGTATGGCTCAGCAGCAGGAGTTTAAAGCAGACTGGACACCTCTCTGTGAATCTGGGAGTAGTAGGACAGAAATTAATTAATTGTTTTTAACAAAACATAAGCTAGAGACCAATCTAAACCTCAGACCTTTTGCACCCAGGTCAGCTGTTTGCCAAGACACAGCAGTTCTCCTCTCAGCAACCTAGCAGGTTCTTTTGGTATCTTTTAGGATCTCACACTTCAGCAAAGGAAGCATCGATGGCCTCACACGTTCTTCTGTGCGCTGCCAGGGGCATGTGCTTCCAGCCGCCTGCTTACCCCCAGGCGCTGTCCCCTGGCTGGGAAGCTTCTGGTGGGCTCCTCCGGAGGGCTGTGCCTTGCCACAGGGGGAAGTGGGAAGCTCTTCACTAGGCACCGGGTCTATGGTGGTGGTGGCACCACCTCTCTGGGCAGCCTGGCCCACTGCTTGACTGTCCTTGTGGGGAAAGGTTTTCCTTATATCCACTGAGAATGTGGAATTGTGGTTTTCAGAGGAAACTGGAGCATTTATTGGGTGCTCTAGATTTGTTCTCCTTCCTCCTGAAGAGGTTTTATGTCTGGCCTTGGTTTGCTGGGAGGGTTGTAGCATCGGATAAGCCACTGAACTCAAGAGAAGTTCTCCCAGTCTTTTTCCAGGTTCATCCCTCTCTGATAACCACTGAGCCATGAATAAACAAGGGTTCTTCTATTTTTCTATTTGCAGATATAACTCTTTGTAAAACCAGTACAAAAAATATCTAACCACATGTTTTTATTTTTATGGCTTTATTTATTCTGTACTACAGCAAGATAAAAATGCTGTAATCCTTTTTTAGAATGGACTAATAAACATGTGGCATCTACAGGCAACTAACTGTCTAGTTTTTATTTTCTTCTCATTTAGAGGGGATGTGGCTGGCTGTAGATGCACAACAGTTAAGAACGGATGGAATATGGGGGGGGGAGAAACTTTTCTTGCCTGTTTCTCGCTGCTGGGGCTGGAGCCAGGCATGCTATGGACCTGTCCTGCCTCCTGCCAGGCCCCAGACTGCCAGAGCCCCGTTTCCCTACTCAGGGGAAGAAGCGACCGGACACAAACCAAAGCCTGGTCCTAAGGGAAAGCAGAGACAACAAAGAGCCACAGGCACTGGGTCAGGGCTTGCCGTGGTGGCACTGAAGACCCCTACTCTGAAGCTGTCCCAGAGTGTGGGACACTGTGGCATCCCCACTGTGGCATGGGGCTGGGTCTGTCATGGCTGCTAGGTACCCTGCTCACCTCTCCTGCTGAGCAGCATTGTTAGCTTTCACCCAGCAGGTTTCCCCGTCTAGTAGGAAATGGCATTTTAATTACGTTAAATGCCTACCAAGAGAGACTGATTTGGGAGGTCATCTGCATAGTGTAGACTTAAGTAACTAACTCCACCTTAAACCTCTCAGTCCTGTCATCACAGCTCAGTAGGGCCCTGGGGGAAACACTTGTGAGATGGTGGCTCTCGTTGCTGGGGTGAGGGCTTGCAATGCAGCTAATTTTGTTTGTATTTTGCTTTTGAGGTCAATGCCAAGTAGCAGAAATGGATGGAGCTGCACAGATGGTCTGGGCTCCACCTTTTGTCTAAAGCTTTGCACACAGTATGTTAGACATGAGAGCTTATCTTGGCCATACAGCAGCTGCAGATAGAATTAGCAAATGGATTTAATAGACATAGATCTTAAAGAGTAGAGTTAATGAGCCATTACCACTTCTGTCTTCAAATACACAGTCAAAATCAACTTAAAACTTTTAGCCAATGCCTCTTGTCCTGCTGATCACTTAAAGCTGTGCATGGAATTACACAAGGGCAGCAGGGGCAGAATTTCATCATTGAGGAATGGCTTCTCTGACAAGCACTGCATGTTAGGATGCCAATTTTAAATTCCCCAAGGACAAATGTTCACTTCTTCAGTTGTCACTGCCAGTTTGCTGTGCAGGCCACTTCAAAGAGGAGAAATGGTGCAGCAGAGTCCCACACTGCCTTCAGTGCATGCCTACGGGCTAGCATAAAGTAATGGAAGGAGGTTTGGGAACCCCTCTGGCTAAGGAAGGAATAAATCTGCACTTTCCCACCTACTTCTTGTTAAAACTACCCCCATCACTTTGGTTTTCTCATTTTCAGTTCCTTTGTATATTCTGGTTTTGTAGTGCATTTTGTCTAGTAGTGCTTCAATGCTCTCCTACAGCGAAACAGGATCTACGGGTTGCTGGGGCTGTCTTTTCTCCTCAGCAGCTCATAGTACTGGCTTTAGAAATGCTTCAGCCTTCTGGGAGGGGATACAGAACGACTCAATTTTTACAGCACTTGATGCTGAAGTATGACATGAAATAGAAATAATTCCTCAGCAGTGCAATCACTGCCTGCTTTTTGCTGCCCTTGGCTAAGGTAGCCAGGAAAAAAACAAACAAACAAACAAACCCACTGCTGAAACCTACTGCCCTGAGCAGTCATTTTGCAGGCCAAAGCTGCTCTTCCTCCAGTATCGTGCTCACCCCAAGAGAAGTTCAAGCCCTCGTTTCTCACCGATAGAAGCTGGGCAAGAGTGACCCGTCCCCGCAGGGAAGGTTCGTTTTCCAGCAGCCCAGCTCCGAGCAGGGCCCCCTGCCAGCGCCCCGTTCCCACCAGCTCCAGCCGGGCCACGAGCTCCCTCTGCCGAGAGACTGAAGTTAGGGAAAGTGAATAAACCATTTTTAAGAAAAGCTGGCAAGATGGGGAACTTCAGTTCCCAGCGGAGAGGGGTGCTTACATAACAGAAAACGGGGTGTTCTTCAACACACACAAAACACCCAAATACTCCTCCAGAACGCTGAAGCTGGGTACAACTGCCGAGACAGTGCCTGAGCCAAGCTTTGTCCAGCAGCTGATTACAGAATTGCCTCAAGCTTAGGCCACACACCTGCAGGAGGTTAAGAGGAGCTGCTTCAGGAAACAGATTATTTAGTTATAAAAGGAAATACCAGTGCACAGGTCAGTGGGGGCCAACAGGACAGTGCCTACTGGTTTTTAAAACCAAAGCATAGAAAACTCTTACTACGAGTAGCAGCAGCACAGTTACCTTTATTGCCTGTGTAGCACCTGCATGAAGTGACAAGCAGAACACAGTATAAATCCATGCACAACAGATACATAAGTGTCTCAGAAATCTTTCAGAAGAAAAAGAACAGTCTGTAAGTTGATTCCTCTATAACCTCATGAGCTCGGTTTCTGATTCACAAACTCACTTTTTTTCTTAAAGCTGGTATCTTAAAATGGTATAGAAATGCTTCTTTACTTGAATACTAAGTGAATTAACTTATTTCCACAATAAAAATATAGTTTAGTTCTATTAAATTTTCTTCTGAAAATAAATGTTTCTATTTTTCTGCTATGACAATAAATTACAATGTATCACAAATGTAGGCTTTAAGCAGATTTATAAATAAGCAGGAATTAAATGTTCCACCTATAGTTTAACTGAATTCAAGGCATTTAGTAAGAGATAAGCTGAAGGTGCATTTATAATCCAAACTCAATTTGTCAAGGTAAATACGTATAACTGAAGTAGATGTAATGGGATTTAATGCTGTGGTACTTGTATATAGGATAAGTATTCATGAATGATCTGTTCCTCTTCCTCCAGTGTTAAATCCAGATAATCCTCTTCATGTTCAGGAATATCCTCTAGGATTTCATTGACCGCATCAGTCTCCATGTCTTCATCTGTTGGTGAACTAGAAGAACCTTCCAATAAGAAGCAGCAGCAGTGAATTCACCTCAAAGCAGTTGGTACTTCCCCTCTTTCACCAGCACGACTGCTCTGCAAGTCTGTTACTGTAAAACTACCACAGCTAAAATTGCTCTGCAAAGGATATTGCAGGATGGCAATTCTTCCCTATTATTTAAGGCTGTAGGAAAGCCCTTAGCTGTACAACAGGGATCACCACAGCTCTGACAAATAACAGCGCGGGGAGAGAGAGAGTATGCACAAGTTTCCTCTTTGCTAATGGCAAGTATCAGTTACAATTCTATCACGTAAGGGATGCAAGGAAGGAGTATGTGGTCAAATCAGCTGACCGTATAGCACAGATTTGGAATAAACTTCCTAACAGTCAGAACCCGGGTATTAGCAAAGCAAAAATACCATCAGTGCTAGGTCCAGGGAACACACTCCATCAGGCAGGGAGAGGTTGGTTTGTTTTTAGAGAGAACTGGTGTGAGCGAGTACAATTAGATGGGAGAAGCCAGAGCTGCTTGTGTGCTGGAGAGGGCCATGTGCTCCTCGTGGGGACACAGACACTCGAGGCCTCCGCCCTGGTGTGCTAAAGCCATAGCCCACTCAGCAGCCATTTCCTCTCAGCCCTTCCCAGGACGCCTCTGGAGGTTACCCTTTCTTCTGGGCTGCATTCACCTTGCACGCTGCCTACAGCCGATACATAGGTGTCCCTTGGGGTTCCGTATAGGGCTGTTGCTGACTGACAGGGCTATCGCTTATCTGGC